TGTCCTCCCCCTGTGCTTTCCAATAAATACCTGCTGAATACGGAGTGTCTGTTTTTCTCAGGTCCCTCTGAGACCTACACAATCTCTCCCTTCTTCACACAAATACTAATACCATGGAAGTCTTATAGTTCACCTATTTGTTCTCATCTATTTGTATGTTTGGCTTTTGGGGGAAACCACATCACTTAGTCCTGTTGTAAATGTTGCCTGTGGGTTTCTGGTTGCTATTTAGTTCTGTTTAGTTTTTATGTGGGAACTTGTAGAGATTCAAATCTGTGCTGCCACTGCCACCATCATCGTAAAATTCCAAAAGCTACTGGTGTTTTCTGAAGCGTTATCACATTTAAGAAGTCTCCTATTTTTATTTTACTTAGTTTTGTTTTTATCTCTTTTAGAAAGAATGCTGTTGAATTTCATAACAATTCTTTATTGCTGCCTTTAATCTATTAATACAGTTACATACCATAATATATATTTTTAATATTGGATCATCCTCATATTTCTTAAGTTAAACATTATTGGAAATATTTTTTGCTTTCCTTCTTGCAATGTTAATTAAAAAGTACATTATTGGGATGTTTTGCCTCTATGTAACCATGTAATCAATAGTTATTTTTAATATTTGAGTAATTTATTGAAATATAATTTATACAGAGTAAAATGAGCAAATCACAAGTTTAAGAGCTTGGACAAATGTACATATCTGTGTAAACGACATGCCAATCAAAATAAATTTCCATCACTCCAGAAAGCTCCTTTCCAGTTAATCCCTCTTTGCAGAGTCAAATCTATTCTGATGTCTATCACCATAGATTAGTTTTGTCGGCTGCCGAACTTCCTATAAATGAAATCATACAATATGTATGCTCATTGGCATCTGGCTTCTGTCACTAAGTGGTGAGAATCCACACACATAATTGTCTGCACCAGTTGTTACTTTTTTGTTGTTGTTGAGTAGAGTTGTGTCGTATAAATATACCATAATTTATTTATCCATTCTCCTATTGATAGGCAAATGGATTGTTTCCAGTTTGGGGCTATTATGAATAAAGCTTCTTAAAATATTCTTCAAATATACCAATCATTCTGTAGACAGCTTTTCCTCTCTCTTGTGCAGATAACTAGTAGATTTGCTGAGTCAAAGAGTAGATGTATAACTAAACATTACCAGTTTGTCAAAGTGGCGCCACCATTTTACATTCCCACTAGCAATGTATGAAAATTCTGGTTGCTCCAAATTCTAAGCTTTTTTTGTTAGGTGGTAATATCAAGATTCCTAAACCCTAGGAAATGATTTGGGTTGTTTCCAAAACTGTACGAAAGCAATTTAGGTAACCAAAACTTTTGTACCCCCGTAGAACTCTGGAAATAAAATAAAATAAATGATTTGGGAAGACGTCCATGTTTTTTCTATGCTCCAAAACATTTCAAATATTAAAAGATGTATCTGTTCCTTCAAAGGCAACCTCCCCATGATATCTGTTACTCAGCAGTCACCAGGGTTTATTTGGTTAATCTAAATTACTAGTTGTGTGGATTCTCTTCTTCCTTCAATGTTCCCAGTACATCACTTCAGAAGATGGTTATCTTTTGTTCTTCATGAAAGCTAAGTATCTGCACTCCCTTAATAGAATCCCCAACGAGCTCTTAACATTTATGGGGTGTACTGATAGAGAGTACAAAGACTTTACTAGAAAATCATATATATAATTTCAAGAGTGAAAAGCTAGGAAATAAAACTAGTTTAGACAATCCTTAGAAATGCTTGCACGTGAAAAGAAACATCAGCAAGAGAATATAGGGTTGTTGAAATGCTGAGGGAAACAGTCTCTAAAGAAATAGAAGGAATCATTATTTACTCTATTTCCCTTCTTAGCAACTAAAATGTAAACTCAATGAAGGCAGGAATTTCTTCCCACTTAGATTCCTCCTGTTTGATCAGGGACTAGAACAGAGCCTAGAATTCAGGAGGCACTCATTTGTGAGTGATTAAATAACAGAAAGCAAGGAGAAAATCAATCAGTAAATAATGGGTAACTATTGGAGGTTATGGGTAAGTTTATGGTCTGATTGTGGTGGTCTCACAGGTGTATACTTAGCTCTAAACTCATCAAATTATATACATTAAATATGTACAGCTTTTCGTACATCAATCATACCTTAATAAATGGTCTAAAAATAACTAAGATTAAAATTTTAAAAAATTAAATAAAAAAACCCTTAGACAGGAGGCTAACACGTCTTGCTTAAAATTCTTCAATGTACTTATTGTGAGCACCAAATACGATCCACAATCTGTGATGTGGCATTTAAGACCTTTCAAAATCTACCCTATTTACTTATATCTCTTCTTCACCCTTAAATCTGAATATTTCACAAATATTCCCCCAAATTTTCCCCTCTGTCAGGAAAATCCTTCCATACCCTATGCCTGATGAAATTCTACTTCTCTTTCCAGAATCTACTCACTTACTAACCTCTCTGTGTTAACTCCACTGGAGAGGGTCCGGGTAAGGGTAGCAGATAAAAGCTGGAGAGTCCTTACTGCATGCTGGGTGCTACAGTTCAGTCCTCAGAGATTCTGGTGAGACAAGTGTCATTTCCCTTTGAAAATTCAGGACCTAAGATTCAAAGAGGTTGTGATTGCTCAAAATAACACAGATAATTGGTGGCCAAACTGAAATCAAGCCAGGGTGATTTGATTGTAAACCTTGTACTCTTTTCCCTTCACCAATCATATGGCTTTCCAATGCAATCCCTTATTCCTTTAACTAGGACGCATTTATCTTTGTATTCCAATTATCTTTATCGTTCAGTACACTGTGAGTCCCCTGAGGGCAGGGATTGTCTTATTCACCTTTTTACCCAAATGATTATTAAAGAGAATAAGAACTTATTATACCGGTTGAAAGTGAATACTGTAGCTATTTACAGAATAGCTCTAGTGCTGAAAGAATTCTCTATTAGATGTTAAGTTAAACACATTTCTCCCAAAGTCAGGATTCCAGGTCCAAAGCAACTCTGTTCGCTCAGATCCCAGGCAAAGCACAAGTATAGAGGAGCTACTCTGGCCACCTGACTTTCAAAGAAGGTGCCCTCAGTCTGAAGAAATGAATGAACTCTTTGAGGACAATTCTAAGTCATAAGAGATACAGAAGGTGGAGGAGTTCTTAGTATATCTGCCATCCCGCATTCTGGCAAGAAGCCATGGCTTTGGAGAATAAAAGCAAAATATGTTTTTCGGTTTGCTTCGAAATATTTATTCCATAAATGTAATAGTTGACCAAGTTTATTCATTCTATTCTCTTCTATGCTAATGGTAGGAAATAAAGAGGTAGGAAATGCAGTGTCTTGGAAAAAATAAGGCAGAGTGAAAAGATAGTGCTAAGGGTGCAGGTGGGGTAAATATGAAGAGACCTGAATGAGGTTCAAAGGAAAAGCAAACAGGCCCATGTGGCTAGAGTGTGGTAAGCAAAGGGAGTAAGTGGTAAGAAATGAAGTTGGAGTACTAACCAAAGCTAGGTAATGCAGGGCCATGCGGGATGGGCCATGTTCAAGTTATTTGACCAAGGGAGTAACACAATCTGACTTGCAACCTTAAAAGTAAAAATGTTTTGGAAAACAGAAAGTAGTGAAGTAAGAGCACGAGGAGGAAGGCCATCGAGGAGGCCACTGAAATAACCCATTAAGAGCGGCACAGTGGTTATTGGTAAGGGTTGTGAAAGGTCATACTCCGAACACATTTGGAAGCTCTACCTAACAAGATTTGCCACGTATTGAAGGTATGAGAACAGATGGAGCCTAGGATGACTCTGTGGTTCTTAGCTTGAGCAGCTGGCTGAATAGATGCACTAGTGAGGAGGGAAATACTGGAAGAAACCATGTCTGTTTGAGAAATCAAGGGTTCTATTATGAAAAATTTGCAGATGAAATTATGTGATCTAGGATTACTTTAAAATAATCTGGAGATATGTAAATATTAAAGATTGATTACCGATAATTGTTGAAATTAGGTGATGTGCACATGCAGGTTCATTATACTATTCTCTTTTACATGTTCTAATTTCTCTATAATAAAACTTCTTAGAATAGTTATAGACATATTAAGTTTGAGAGGCCCTTGGACTTCATGTGGAGACATCATATGGATAGATGAATGGTAGTTCTGAAAAGAAATCGGGGCTAAATAAATGTAGCAATTATCAGTAAATTTAAAGCTGTGTAAAAGGAGGAGAACACCTACAGTGTGAATAAAAATAGAAAATAGGTCCAGCACTGAGCAACTGAACTCTACGACATTTAGAGATGAGGAAAATGAGAAGAATTTTTAAAAAACATTTTTTGCCAGGATTTATCAACTCATATCAAAAGTCACTGAAAAACACATAATTTTGAACTAGTACTTTCACTTCTAGGACTAGCATACACAGAAGAAATTAATAGGACTAGTATACATAGACAGTGTAAAAGATTTACTACAATGCTTAATAGGAAAAGGAAAAAAATGTGGGGGTGACACGTTGCAATAACCTAAAAATTTGAACAATGGGCTAGCTAAATACAGTGTATTTCAGTGGAATATTGTTCAGCAATTAAAAATGATTAGGTATATTTCAGCGACCTGTAAATATTTTCACAATTCATTCAGTGAGAATAGCTGATTAAATAAAGCATTATAGTTTGTATTATGCATATTTGTTAACAGTATTTATTTTATACTTTCCTTACCATTGATAACCTAAAATAGTAAATATTATCTTTGGTAGTAAGATTACAGACTTCTTTTCCCCACTACACTTTCCTGTAGTTGCAATTTTTCTCAATAGACATAAAAATATACATTTAAAATTTTTAATAATGCTCATTCAGTAATGTGAAATACAAAGAACCTTAAAAAGAGACCTGATTCCAACCAGTCAAAAGTTGCATTGACACCACAAAATCATTTATTGAAATAACTATTGTGAATTGTTTTAAAATAAATAGAACATAAGAAAGTATTTTAATATTATATTTAATATTTTATTTAAATTAAGAGATATAATAAAAATCATATGCATTTGCTCCACTGTTTGGATAAAATTTCCAATTACTTTCAAATAATCTACACACAGTATCTCACATACCAAATTTCAATATGGTCATGAAAATATATAAGCTGTATTACAGAGCTTGGTATATAAATCCAGACATAACATACACTATACACATTGACTTTAAGTAACTTAATTATAAAAGTCATTTTAAAAAGTCATAGAAATTTACTTCTATTCAGTGTAAGTTACAGCATGCATGCCATGTGGACACCAACTCAATGATTATAGGTAGGAATATCACTTTTGTGAATGCTATTTATACTGGAGTAGAAATGCACATAAAAATACTTTCTTTAAAACATGTTCTGTTTCAGACAAAAAATTAGATGTGGGCTAACTACTTTAAAAATTGCAAGATTTATTTTTAATTAAACCAATGCAATTTTAAGTTTTTAGATCATTAAGTCTCATTCATCTTCCCTAATTTAGGAAGATGAAACAACATCATTGACAAGGTTTTAATGCATTTGACCTTAAACTTAAAAAATAAATTTTTTTACATTTTATATTTAAAAGAGGCATTTTAGCCTCGACATAAAAAGATATATTCTTACAAGTCCAATTATAACAATTCCATCCTTTTTCTTGCAATGCTTTTATTAGATAAAAAACATTAAATTTTTTACTTGACTTCAGAAGATACTGTTTAGAAAGACAATCCCTTTATTGAGTTCAGAAGTTTCTAAATGTATTTAATACCTGAGTCAAAATTCTAGATTTCTATATGGGTATTATACAAACACTGCTTCTTTAAACTGTTTATTTCATCTTGGTTATAAAAATCATCAAATAGTACACTACTAAGAGAATTTTTTCTTTCTTGGCTTTGGGCCATTTAGTGTCTTTTCAATCTTAAAAGTTAAAATTATTATTATAATTTAAAAAGTTAAAATTCCTATATCTAATAATATTTTTTAAGCATATAAGAGACAAAAATAAAATGTAGTTTACTATTTTATCATTACCATCTGCTGCAATGAGTCTGCCAGACCAGAAGCTTTTTTCAATAGGAAAACCAGCTTTAAATCAAATATTGATTTTCCTCCTGTAATTCACATTTGTCTATTGAATCAGTTACCCAATCTTCTTTTAGGATTTTAAACTTTCTCTTAAAATTTCTTCTAAAAGCTTTAAAATTTGCAACTCGACTATGATCTTCCCCAACGATAACATGAGACACTCCTTCAGCTAAACAAGAAACTACTTTTGCTCCATGAAACTGAAGCTCCAAGGCTTGAATAGCTAATCTTGTTCCCTTGGTTTTGGTACTCAAATCATTAATAACACTATACAAATCCAAATAAATGGTGTGGCGTCGAAATATACTGAGGGGAGAGTGGTCCCAGGAATACCGATATTCTAAATCAGCAATCACAGAAGACATTTCTTCAGGAGTCTGTTCATCAGAATTTTTAATTCCTGAGAATACTTCCTTCAGTTGCTTCAAATCTGTATCAACAAAATAACTATCACCATAGCAATCATATTCACGGGCAAAATGTTTTTTTGTTGATGGACACATATGAATCATAAAGCGAGGCTGCCATGGCACACAGCTTTTGGCCTTAAAACATTCTAAAAGCCACACGGGCTTGACAACATCATGTTCATCTGCAGAAATTATGTTTCTCACCCTGATGTTCTCAGACCCTGCAATTACACAGTACGTGTCTGGGCCTGGATTCTGTACTATATAACCACCAAATTCTGCAATTCTATTCTCCAGGTCAGTCTTTGGATGGCTGTCTGTTCCACTCATAACACAAAACTCGACATCTTCAAATATATTAGAAACTTTGTTTATATTAGAAAGATTAGGTGCTTTTAAGTGTTCGATAATTCCAATAACTTTCTTCATCTTTGGGGCAACTTTCCGCTTTTTTTCCTGTGGTTCATCATCTATACCTACATAAAAGTGTTTAGATGCAAGCTTTCCAGATGCTTTCCCCCTAAGTTGCTCTAAGTCATCCAGAGTCATGCATTCATGCCACTCTTTGTCATCTCTTATCTTTTCGATTCTGGGAAAACGCAATGTGCAGCCAGTTTTATACATGTCACTGGGGACGATCTCTGCTGCCTTAATCTGAACGATGACAGAGTTACAAGGTTCGATGTACACTTCTGGCTTCTCTGTTCCACATAAAATGCTACTTGGTGGAGTTTTTTTATGAAAAGGCTTCCAATGTTTGGCCAATTTCAAACCCAGATCATACAGTTCTTTCATGGTGTAACCAGAGCCAACACGAGAGAGAGTATGAAACACAGATGGGTTTTCACCAGAAGGGGGCTTCTCTGCTACTGCACACAAAAAATGAGACATCATCCCACCCCGTGAACCTTTACCCCAATAGCCTCCAACAATTAAGATGTCCAATTCATCCATTAGTTCACTGACATACTCTGGTTTAATTTTTAACCATCCTTCACCTCTTTTGTCTGGCTTGTAAATGGATAGAGGATGTTTTATCATGATACCCTCTTCTCTTTTATCAATTGCTTCATTCAATGCATCAATTACTTCATTCTTAGTATGAGCTTGTGTTTTTTGTACTATTTCTATTCTACCTGGTATTGGTGTAAAAATACTACTAAGGATCTCATACCTCTTTCTTAGGGTCTCATGTCCTAGTTTTTTATTATTAACCATCAATACATCAAAAACACAATAACATGTTTGCAGATCAGAATCTTCTACCATTCTTTTAATATCAAACTTAATACCCTTTTGCATAAAAGTTTGCGTATTAGGGTTGTAGGCCATCATCTCACCGTCAAGAATACAGACTTGTATATCTGTTTTGAATGCATTATGAATGAATGGGGAAAGAGAACCTTCATCTGGAGAAGCACCAAACTGATCAGTATAATTATATCCATTTCTGGAGAAGTATTTATATTTAGTCCCATCTTTGTGCATTTGCATACGCTCACCATCTAGTTTGGTTTCGATGTAGAAAGTCTGGTGTTTCATGTCCTTCTCAATGCGCTCAATATCTGCTATAGCAGCTAGCATTGGTTTAAAGGCAGAAAATAAAGTGATAGAAATATCGCTGAGTCCTACAGAAGGATCATGAAGTTGCCTGCAGACTTTTTCCAGATCTGTGGTGACACTATGCAACTCAACAGCATCATTATGAAAAACAGAAAGTATAGTTTGCTGACTAACACCAAGCTTTAAATCCTTTATGATCATCCGTATAAGCCACTTTTGCTCAAGTGCTGAACTCTGAGTTATAAGTTGAAGAAGACTCTTCTTTATTAGGTCTTTTCTTTTAGCAGAATTATTGCTGGCAACGGAGTCTAAAAGGTCATTTACTTGCTGTATAGTTAAACTTCCTTTCTGTAAACATCTTGGCCTCAACACGAAGTAGGCAATCACTGCAAAGTCTCCAGCATCTCCACGAGTTCCAGTGGGTGTTCTGTAATTTAAAAGTTTAAGGGCATCTTTACCTTCTCTAGGTAAATTAAGCAATTCAATATAAAGCTTAGCAAGCATAGTTTCTTTGATTCCATAGGCCATTCTCTCTCTTTCTAGTTGAGGAAGAATTAGTCTCATTGCTGGATAAAAAGAGTCTGTGACATCTTTTTGGTTCTTATGAAGGGCATCGTGAAATTTTCTCCAAGAATCTAAAAATTCCCTGAAGTGTCTGATTTTTTCTGCACGTCCTTTACTTTTCTGTATTCGTTCTAAAGTTGAACATAAATCTGCAAAAGGAACGTGAGATGCAACAGTTTGTGAAGTTTGTGAGGCAGCCATAGAAGCGATGGTGAATCCTCTCGTTTAACTGGTAAAGCAAAAAAAGAATAACTTTAAGTAAAAGATAAAATTCAACTAAATAGTTAATGTAAAGATCTTATAGAGATCACCTGGATCATAATAAATGTTTACTAATGTTCCTAAATGAAAATAGATCAATGTTATAAATAATATATCTTTTCAACCTCTACATTTAATAACTATTTTACTTCAATCCTAATTAGAATTTATTATCAAAATTATCACCAGCCCCATCTCCTATATTTATAATACTGAAAAATCATTTTAATTATATTTCTCCCTAAATTCCAACTTTCCTTTAATTATTCTATAGCTTACCTATTTAGCATATAATGCAAAAGAATATTGCTAGTAATTAGGACAGAGACACAAATCAGGCTCAATTCACTTCACTTCTGAACTACTAAGGGAAGTTCCTTTACTGTATGTCTCTTCTTTCTCTGTCAAACTACCACACAGCACCAGAAACAAACTTCCTAAAACAGACGTTTTTAAGAAATCACTTGCTCAATGAATTGAAATTTGACTTCCTAGAAATTTGAAATCTCAATCATAGATAGGGTCCTTGACAAAAAAAAAAAATAAAAAAATAGGTAATTTGCTCTTCCAGCCAAACAAAGCCTAGTCTATGTTTACTTCCACTTCTTTCCTGCTAGCTATGCCAAATTACGCCAACATTCAAAACCCAATTCACAATACCTTCCTCATAAAATCCTCACTTTACCTATTTTACCATAATTACCTACCATTTTATAAATATAAATTTATCAGTACACTTCTTTTTGTTCATATTCCCATGCCAGTTATTCCCCAAGTACTCAATGACCACATATGAGCTAGGTACTGTGCTATGGGCAAATACAGTATGTTTCTGCTTTAAAATAACATATATTCCATTAAAAAAAAGAGATATAATGGGAACTAATTATAATAAAACGCTAAGTGCTTTAACAAAACAAAAGTAAAATGTCCTGAGACATTTCACTGAAGTATCTTCTAAAGTAAGAGAAGAAAATAATGGGTACCTTGCTGCGATAGGGTCTAGAATATTTGCTATTAATAAAATAGTTATACGTATGAAATATCTTTGAAGTTTTAAATAATGATACACATTCTATCGGAATGTATAATATATCAGAGTTATTTTAATGTGGTTTAAACTACATAACATTAAAATAACTTTTCCAAAAAACATATCGAGTAAAACGTGTGCTCCCGGAATATAAACAATGTTTTTTCTTGTGGTTTCAGGCATCTTCTGGCACATGAATAGGTAGCGCAGGCAGTAGAGTCAGGAAGCTTAGCTGGAACTGGGGAGATCTATTACAGTGCAGAGACGGTGAAATTCACCAACCCAGGAAACAAGAAAAACACACACACACAAACACAAGGTACATTATCACTTAGTATCCAGTAAAATAAATCAAATGGCTAATTATGATACCACATTTACTAAACTGTCAGTCTCCAGAGTCCAGAAATTGTGTTTTAATTTGTGCCACTAGTGGCAGATACATAGTAGGTTTGTTTGCTGAATGAATTACTGAACACAGAGTTGATTCCTGGAAAAGTACACTAGAGAAGGCCATGGGCTAGTTACACACACACATACACATAGCCACCCACCCACCCCAACATGGCTGGTGAGATTCAGTTTGGTTAAAAATATTCAGCAGCTCTGACTACACTGGCAATGTTTCACAACAGCCATTTGGTGGCCTACAAAGAAAAAGCTGCACTTCTCAATCTAATTTCTGACAAAGGAAACCCAACTTCTACTATGTTAGATCAAGATATAAACCCACGACAGAATACTTTCATCTTTGACTATAGTAACTGCTTCCTCTCCCTGTATCTGGTTTGCATAACTGACTGTGCCACCTGGTTACATATATTCACTGACCTACCCCCCAAAACATGGGGTACATTAGGTTATATATACCTTTACAACTCTGTGTTCAGTAATTCACTCAGCAAATAAAGTATGTTAAGAAATACTTCTTTGAATGTTTAACTATATATTGGTATATAGTTTCTATAGATCTATCTGTAGATTCTATATGGTCTCAAAGTTTTCCCTCAAAAAATCCCAAGCAAAAACTCAAATTACTTTAAAATGATAAAATTTAGATAATGGTATGGCTAGCCACATATCCTAAAATGGCTATATAGATAGTAAAGATTCCAAAATTACTAAGAAATGAATATATATAAATATTTTTGCTCATTGCAATTGTATAAGAAGTTGAAGATTAGGACTTACATTGCTTTTTACATGCTCTGTAATTTTATTTTTTGGATTCTGAGGTTTTAGCTGATGCTTTCCATTTGCAATAAGACAAACAAGGAGGTTTGTGGTTAGGACTCAAGGTTCTGGAGTCTAATCTCAGTTCAAATATGGATTCTAACATTTAAGAGCTATGTAATACTGGGCAATTACTTAATTTCTCTAGGCTTCAGTTTTAAGTGTAAAATGGAATTAAAAACTATGCAGAAATTGCGATGAGGATGAAATCAGATAATTTACACAAGATGCTTAACACAGTAGTAAGTCCTTGACAGTTTTAATATTATAATGCTTGCTGATCCAAGCAACATTTAAAATTTAAATACTGCAAAATCCTAAACAGATAAGAAGGAAAGAAGAAAAGGGGGATGCTATATTCTTTTTTTTTTTTTTTTTGAGACAGAGTCTCACGCGGTTGCCCGGAGTAGAGTGCCGTGGCGTCAGCCTAGCTCACAGCAACCTCAAACTCCTGGGATCGAGCAGTCCTACTGCCTCAGCCTCCCGAGTAGCTGGGACTACAGGCATGTACCACCATGCCCGGCTAATTTTTTCTATATAGATTTTTAATTGTCCAAATAATTTCTTTCTATTTTTAGTAGAGATGGGGTCTCGCTCTTGCTCAGAGCTGGTCTCGAACTCCTGACCTTCAGGGATCCACCCGCCTCGGCCTCCCAGAGTGCTAGGATTACAGGCGTGAGCCACCGCGCCTGGTGGATGCTATACTCTTAAACAGTGATATACAAAACTTTCAAGAGAATGAATAAGAGTAATTACTACACAAAAATTACTCATCATCTGGTCGGCTGCTGCTCATATTATCCTGAAGTGACACAATAAAACAAACTAAGAGGTTTTATTCAGTGGATATGGAAGATGATTAAGTGCTATTTTATTGCAGGAAAAAAGAAGAGAAAGTGTCTAGTACAACTTAAATTTCCTTCATGCAACCCTTGAGAAGTTGTGTTTCCCTGTGACACAGAGGGTTTACAGCTGCCTACCTTCCACAGCACTTACTGACATTTTGGGAGAACCTCAGCAAAAAAAATCGGCGGTACAAAAGGCAAGAAGGGCTCTAGGATCCCGAAAGTTAATGAAAGACAAACTGTAAAATGAGAAAGTAATTTCCTACAGTGTCTTCCACTTCAATGGCCCCTGTACACGCTTGCAAAATCTCGAAGGGTTTACATCATCCTCTGCTCCAAGCCCTAACCACCCAACGGATTCCGAGTGAATTTCTAGCCTCAGGTAAATGCTGTTACCTCTCTGAGCCCGAGGGTCCCATCTGTAAAATGGGATCTTGAAAGTTTCTTGCGAGGTTGTCAGAATCAGAATGTACTCCAGCAAAGCAGGCAACGAAGTTCCAGAGACTCAAAAATGGGAGAAACTGTCGTCCCCTTGTTCCACGTTCCAGGGTCTGGGTATAGATAGTAAGCCCTCAATCAAGAGGTCAGGTTTCTAATGAAGGCAGTCGCCAGCGCTGAGAACTCTGCCGCCGCACCCGCCAGCCAACCCCCGCCTCTACACACACCCGCCTCTACACACACTGCCTCCACAACCACACCCACACCCACCTGCCGCCGGGCATCCCCCCAGCCCCCCACAACAAGCCGCCGCACACAATACCCACCTGACCTCAAGCCAGCGGCTTAGCAGCCAAAACGTCAGCACCAAGAGGCAAAAGAAGCCGGTTCCGCCAACTGCTGGCCGCGCCGGCGCAGTGGCAACATAAGAGGCCCCGAAGGCCGTGACGTCACGGGAATAATGCGCGCAGGCGCGGCCACGCTAGGGTGAGCGATGGGAGGGCCCCCAATCCCAGCCCGCGGAACTGTGGAGGCGGGACCCGGGAGGGAACCTGGTTACAGCTGTGACTAAACTCAGCTACCGTTAGCTTCAGCAGCACGTGCGCTTTGCAAGCGGTTGCCCCAGACCCAGGAGTGGATTTTGTCGTTGGGCGAGATCACTTTGTACATTGGCTGGATACCAGGACGCTGAGCCCTCCTTAGCAAGTGACAGCGTCTCAGAGTTCTCATTATCTGCGCGTAAAACAGTGGTAACTACACTCATTTCGCTCGTTGGTTGTGAAAGTGCCCAGGATAGAAGAGGACATCCTCCCACTCAAAACGTCTGCTGTCTCATTTAGATAGAAAAATAGGCTTTTGCAAAACTATCTAAGGTGGTTTGTTTTTTCATGATGTTGGCAAGTGTGATCTGAGTTCTTGTCTCTTAATACATAAATAATACATCATTCATAAAATATATAATTTTTAATACGGAAATGAACAGTTATATGCCCAGAAATAAACTATGGACTCCTCTCAAGGATTCAAACTAAAGTTATTTTGACAAACCTTTATCGAGCATCTACTATGATGTAGTAACTATGCTAGATAGTCATGATTGAGAGATGGAAACCAACCTGGTTCTTATGCTCCAGGAGCTGTTAATTTCCTCTGAATTTGTGGTCTGTCCTTTTCTACGGTGGAGAAGTGAGAAGTTATCTTTAAAGTGAGAAAAATAACATTTATAATTATTTCCTTGTAAGATAAAATTTCCTTGTTGATTTAAGTTGAAAGTGAAATTTTGCTGCAATGGGCTCTGAGAAATTTTAAAGCTGTGAGTGCCCTTAGAGGTTGTCTAACGTACAAAAACCTCATTTTACAAAACTGACACATTTAATTTGCAGTGCTAGTTTGTGCTGGAGGTAGAACCTAGAGCTCCTAGCTCAGCAGCATTCAGTTATTTTCTTTGCATGTCTAATTCACCTAAATTACCTGAGTATTTCTCTGAAATCCTCTGCAATGTAGTAAAGTCACATGATACTTTTTGTCAATAATTCCTCTACCTACTGTTCAACTTAATTAGCTTAGTTTGGAGGCTCCTCAATAGTGTTAAGTTAGAGGGGCGGACTTGCCTGTATACATTTGTATCTTGTTAAACATCTACTGAGCTCCTATAGTGTCAGAGACTGGACTTCGTATTAGCGATACGAGAGAAACCATCAATTGTGATTCCAAACTCCAAATTGATTCAAAGCCCAGTCTTCATTTTATCATGTAATTTTAGCTGCTTAGTTCAAAGAGAGTCAAGGGTTTTTCTACTAAATATCTTCTAGAGTCGCTGTGATTATTGGTTTAAGTTAATGGCCTAATTAGTTCTTGGTCCTTATTAAGTAATCAACAATGGGAAGCTGTGAATCAAGAGCCCGTCTTTGACCTGAAGCTCTCCATCTCGTACCAGTGTCACCGCGTAGATGGTGCTTGCTAACGTCGCAGAAAAGAATTTAAGGACGCGCACACGAAGTCAAGCCACTGATAGTGGCAAGTTTATTAAAACGAAAATACTCTCAATTAAGAGAACGGGCAGGCTTGAAAAGAGCAGCTGTCGGGAATGTTAGCTACCTTTTATTTTCTGGGGTCAGGGAAGGCGAGATGGTCAGAGTTTGTATTGTTCGATTTTTATCTCTTGGTTGGGCCTTTTCCTCATTTGGTAGCTTTCCTATCGGCCTTCTTAGTCCTTACCCCTAATTCCCCCGTTTTCCGCAATGTTAATTAATTAAAATTACGGTATAATAAGGAAAAGGTTACTAGAGGTGACGCGGGTCCTGCACCTGCGCATGCGCTAATGCTGGGCAATCCTGGTGTTTGCAGCAGTTCTTGCTGTTACATAGAGAAGACCACAGATTTGGCTGCTGGCTCCAATCATGATTACTAACTTCTCCTTTCTCTCTTCCCTTGCTCATGTCTGACTACCTGCTCTTAACAGCAGGATAAGATATATTAAAAAACAAACAACAACAAAAACGTATGAAATATCCTCTATATAAAATAGGGTACATAGACTAGGGAATGCCCAGGGCAGGGGGAGGCACACATCTGTAAACAAACAATTCAGTACAGTTTGGTGCACAGGGGGGTTGACAGCGAGGCTAATCATGCCCAAGTATCAAGGGCCCATTTGTGTGGGTCCTTTCGAGGCCTTGGGAAGGGCCCTAACAACGTGTTCCCATGGTCGTGCACTTCTGTAAAATTTGCGAAAATAATTCTCTCTTTAAAAGGGTTCTTCAAATTGTGCAAGGTTCAGGCCTCAAAAACCTTGCATCCGCCCTTGCCCTCACAATCCAGTCTGATAGAGATAAAAAGAGACAAACAGCTATGGAAGCTCTTTAAATCCTGGAACTCACTGCGACACCCCTAACAACCCTATCAAGCAGACACAGTTTCTTCCGTAAAAACTGCGTCTTGTAGAAAGATCTGGTGAGCTCCCCGACGTCACTGGCTCCAGGTCGGGCCTGCCCGGGGTCCGGCTCCTCCTCGCACCGGAGGCCTCGGGAACCGGAGGACCTCCCAGCGCTCGGAGGAAGGTGAGAGGCCGCAATCCTCCAGTTGCAGAGCGGGAAGCGGAGGCCTGGGCCGCCGAGGTATCTTTTCCGTCCGAGCCACCGTCGCGGGACTCCCAGGACCGCGGTTTCTGCGCATGTCCGAGAGTGGGGGTAGGGTTCCCACTCCGGGAAGGAAGACCGGGAACAGGTTATGTGGGAGCCGGCGGGGGCATTTGCCGGCGACACCCGAGTGGGGGCCGGAAGTGGAGCCGCTGAGAGTCGCGCCTTACGAGCTCCGGCTAGACCGTGGCCACGGCAGCGGCCCCTCTGCTGGGGGAGGACGATGAGGAGCGACGGAGGCGGCGCGGGGGGACGCTGCTGCGCGGCGCTCGGTTTCATGCCCGCGGCCGACTGCGCAGCCTGCCAGCAAGTCTGAGTAAGTGCGGCCCGGGGGCGCCGAGTCTCGAGGAGCCCGAGCGCCGGCTTCGCGCCTTCAAGGAGGGTCGCGGGCAACCGCCAGCTCCTCACGGTGGGCACGAAGCCCTGGCGGGAGGCCGGGAAGAGGCCGCAGAGCCCCAGCGGCTTCCTGGGGAGGTGTGCGGGGGGCCAAGCGCCGGAGGCTGTGCGGGACTTGGCCCCAGGCGCTGTGCCTGCCCCGGCAGCAGCCGGTGTCGGTCGCCCTGACCCCGCTTTTCCGTCGCCTCGGTGGCAGGGAAAACAAGCAGAAACCACATACCTGTTTGGAAACTAAAATGCGGTTATCTCCAATGGCTCGTTTGGTGTCATTTTGTTTCTGGAACCTGAAACGCTCTTAATATTATATGCCAATTGTATTTCCAGTAATGTGTAGAAATCTATGATCCTTAAAATTGAGCCCATCTCACCCCCACCCTCCCACACAGAGATGAAAAGTAAAATAGAAAAACCTTACCTACTAAGATTAGAGGGATGAAGTAGGCACCTCTAGTAACAGGTTTAGATCTGCGAATACCATGGCAGGAAGTTCTGGGGTTTTTAAGAAACATCAAGAGAACACCGCATACCATTGAAGTCAGTTTGCTGAAGATTTTTGTCAACATTTATTTTACGTAAAATGCATTATTAATGTTATTGCCCAAGATAATCATAACTAAAAATAAGTCTCATTTAACAGCTCTTTTACTTGTATTTGCTATGTAACAGTAACTGAATAGAAAGAGACAAGAGTATATTGGCGTTAAGTTTTGATGTTTGATTTTCATTGATCCTCTCCTGGATGTGTTTTTTTTTTGGTTTTTTTTTGGTTTTTTTTTTGCCGTGGATTAATATTTGTGTGCATGCTTAGGTTAATCACATATCTTTGACTAAAATATTAAATTTTATTCTACTACATAAGAATTCCTGATTGTCCATTTAGTGTTAGTGTCATGATTAGCCTACTTAAGACATCAAGTGCTCAATTCAGTCATTGTTAATAGAAACTTTTTATGTGCCTCCTGTAGCCTATGGGCTATATACTGAAAATACAGAGTTGACTAGGATGAAGTAAGTCACTGTCATCAAGGAACTCACAGGCTATGTAAGTAGGTTAATTACCCTGTAATAGTAAGTGCCACCGCATAAGTTTGCACAAATTACAGAATATGGAATGGTTGGCAGTAGGGTGTCGGGAACCAGGGAAAGGTTTCTGGAAGATCTGCCTGAGCTTGGTTTTGACAGAAATGTGGGCATTGCCTTATTCGGTCGTTTCCAGTGAATCATATCCATTATTTAATCCAAGACTAGTTGGACTTCTGGTTGTCCTTTCACTAACTCTGCTCTAGTAGGTAAAATGTTGTCTCATAGAAGTAGCTGCATTTATTAACATTATTACATTTGATCTCAACAGTATTTCAATTAAGTCTTTCATCCTCTATTCGCATGTGAATAAATAAATATTTAGAGAGGCTAAGTGAGGTGGCAAAAGCTACCTAGCTATTAACAGACCATTCCCCAAAACAGTCTCCTTTCC